CGGCCGAGTATTGGACCAACGCCAAGACGGTATCGACAGCCGACCAAGTCTTAACCGCGTGGTCCGATGACGACGCGACGCCAGAAGCCAAGGACACCATCTTTGGGTTTCGCATCTCGTGGAAGCAAATCAAGCACATGGCTCGACAACAGTCGCTCCCCACGCTCCAGGTTGCAACTCCCGATCTAGTGCTGTTGCTCCACAACGTCTATCAAAACGTGTTCTCCAGCCCGAGCCTTCCCCTACGGAGTGCGTCGCCAGACGAGTGGAAAAGGTTGGTTGCCAAGCACAACCCATCCGCACTGCAACACCCAACAACCATCGCCGCTCTCCTCGATTCCATCGGCGACAGGGCCCAGGTAGACTCGATACCTCTGTGGGAAGTCTTCCTGCACCATATCATCATCAGCCCCAAGACCAAGAGCTGCTCAACTTGTCAGGCGGCCGCTTTCACACTCCTAGCACCACCTCTCCGCTACAAACCGTCGGACGGCTTAGCCAAACACTTTGTGCCAGACTTGGCCCAAAAAATGTCCAGGGGCAAGGCTACACACATGGATCAGCTCCTCGACTTGGTGCCGCCCACGTTTAGCGAGTGGTCCACCATTCCAAAGGCCCTCGCTGTTACTGTGGTGGTGCCGACAGAACGCTGGAAGCTGCTAAACAGAGTCCTGGACCCCGACGCCGGCCAAAGCAGAGAGCTGACGGCTCACATCTATGGCTACTTGCGCGTCCCTGAGGAGTATACCAAACCGGGTTGTGATATCCTCATCACCTACCAGGACACTCAAATCTCGTTTGGCACCGTCACCACGCACGGCTCCCGCGAAGACGACGACTTCGCCATCCATGTGCAGGAAGACGAAGCTGGTTGGAACGGGGCGTCCCCTATGATCGTTTCGTTCTACATTCCTACCGACCTTGTTGTGGAACTGTTTAGCGTGTCGATGGTTGGCTTCGCCGTCGAGTGCCTGGCTCTCAATAAAAACGGCTTCGAAGATGAGGTCCAACTTGTCCAACCTGAAGACGGCACTGCTACTTTCTATGAGGTGCCGCCGTTTTGGAAGGAGCAAGTCTACATCACCAAACACCGCCCGGGCCAGGCCGACTACGGCGTCACAGAGCGCGTGTTGCGCAGCATCCGCAGGTCGAAGGTCGCGGCAAAAGACACGGCGCCCTCGCAGATCACCCTTGGCGCCGATTTCAACCTCCTGGGAGAAATCGTCTCCATCACCGGCCGCGTCAACATCACCTCGGCCCAGGGCAAGAAGCTGCTCTCCGACAAAGCGCCCATCAGCATCGAACAGCCATCCCCCTTCACCCTGGACATCGTCTTTGGCGGCAAGTCCAAAGCCCTCACCCTCCCCCTCACCTTCCCGGCCCCGATCCTCAAAGACGGCAGCAGAACCCGCGTCGCGCGCAAGTCATGCTACATCGAGATCACAGCCCTCCTCGCCAAACCCTCCGCCAACCCCGCAACCCTCGATACCTTCCTCCTCCCCACCACCACTGGGTCGGGTTCATCACCCCCAGCAACGCTCAACATGCCCCACCTCAACCTCGACGCCCTCCCCATCCTCTCCCTCGCTGACAAAAGCCGCACCCGCTTCCTGACAACCCTCACCTCGCTCATGTTCTCCTCGCGCGAGCGCCGCCTGCGCGAGCAGGCCCTCGCCTCTACTACCACCTCCTCCGGCAACACAGCCATGGAGGGTCAGCTGACGGGGAACTCGGCCCGCCTCAACTTCAAAGAATCCCTCTTCACCCTCTTCATGCTCGCCTCGGGCCAGCAGGGCGGCCAGACGGGCCTGTTCGCCCTCACCCACGCCGACCCGCAGCGCGGCATCCAGATGCTGCTGTTTGTCAGCGCCGTGCGGCTGGACGGCGCGCACGGGAGCGTGGTGCTTGACGCGGCGGTGCTTCCCTTTACGCGGGAGATGGTGGCGTCGTTGGAGCTGGAGGGGTTCTTGCTTGTGCTGCGCACGCTTGAGTGCTGCACCCTGATTGTGGACGAGGACGAGTTGAGGCTGTGGAAGGGGGTGTTGCCGGCGCTGGTGGAGAGGTGTCGGGCGTGGAGGCATGTGGAAGACAAGTGTGAGTATGTGGGCGGGACGGTGCCGGTTAGTTTGGTGGAGGGGGAGAAGGTGCTGTGCGGGTGTGGGATGGGGAAGCTGCCGGAGGAGTTTGTCTCGCTGCCGGAGTGGGAGGCGGCGGCCAAGTATGCCACGCGCGTCGCCATCAGCCCGGTGTATGCGTCCGCGCTGGTGGAGGAGTTGGTGGATCCGGAGCTGGCCAAGGCGGTGGCGGAGGATATGGTGGGCGGGAAGCTCGGGGTGAGGAGGTGCCGGACTTGTCGGGTGCCGGAGACCTTGGAAGGGGTCGCGCTGAGGAAGTGCACGAGGTGCTTGGAGGCTGAGTACTGCTCGGCTGAGTGCCAGAAGAAGGATTGGAAAAAGCACCGGATGGAGTGCGAGGAGCCGGAGAAGAAGTGAGGGTTGCGGCTTCATGTAATGTAGCGCCATTTGTCTGTATGGTAGTATATTGATCGAGGAGGAAAGGCCTCTGGCGACCTCGCCATACGAGTCCTCAAGTCTGAACCTTCCCAACCATGTGCATGTGTGTTGCACAGTTCAACCCTTGTTTGTTTGTTAGCGCGGAACTCTTGACATTTGTCCCTAATTTCAAAATTAAAGGAAAGGAGGAGAAAAGAAGCAGAAAAAAGAATGAAGAGGAAAGAGGGAAAGAAGAATAAAGAAAGGGGGAAAGGAATAAATAAAATATAACGAAAGAGAAGTTCCTCTTTTTCTTTCTTTTTTCTCCTCAGGTCAGCCGCTAACCAACAAACAAGGGGAAGGCTGTACAGAGTTTCAGTTCGGCGGTTCTGTTTATGCACCTATTAGCCGCCCGGGTTTGCAGTTTCCAAGTCCAATCAGACGAAGGGGACTGGCCGTCCCGGACTCCCGTCGCCAGAGGTCCCGGGTAGTTCGATGTTTGCTCCTGATTCCGAACCGAACAACCCTACCAGCAAAACGCAATCCAAAGACTATTGAGCACAGGATTCGCAAGCGAGATGGATGGACTCGTCTACCTTCTTGCCTCGACAGCCATCCAAGTCGACGGTCGAAGTGCTCGACCCGGAACACCACCGTATCTTGGTCCACGCGACTCGCCATGTTTTGTCAACAGAGTTGGCCGAGCTCACCATGGCTCAATTAGTTGACGGACTGCCGCTGGCATCATCAGGGTAGGACGCGCGAGGGAGTCTCATACTCGCCAGCCACCCTCTCACCAAACACGAGACTCTCTGCGACGGCGTGATGGACCAAACCAAAGCATTTCGAGCTGCTTTCAATCCTGAAGTGCTACAGTTCGACTCGCCTGTATGTACTTCATTGCTCCATACCCACCCCGGTATTGTTGCTGAGACTTCATGTTCCAGGTCATGCAAGCCTATCAAAACTCCAAAGTCGGGTCTCTGCAATTCAAGATGCGCCTGGTCGAGCTCGTCGCAATCTCGATACACCAGACAGCTGTCCTCCTCTTCCAGCTCGAGCCCAAACTCCACGCCGGCGACATCGATTCAGTCGTCTCATGGAAGAAGGAGCCGGGATGAGTCACTTTTGAAGGAGGCCGCCGTATCTATGAGGAGCCGCTCTTCGAGCCCAGGCCGACTTTGTTCTTCCACGTGGACTACATGGACTATGACCAATATCCGAATGGCCTGGCCGACGTGGCAGGGTACTGGGCCGAGGACCGCATTTTTGGCGGTGTTGTGCTGTTTGACAGGGGAGATTCCGGCTCCGAGGTATGAACATGAACTCTCGCTCGTGGACCAGTATCTGACAATCCCTAGTGTAAGGATGTCTACTTCCATTCCGGCAGGAAACGGACCACTTTCCGCGTTTGGAGGATGTTAAACACTCAATTCAACGCCCTGGTCGACTTCCTCCTCTCCACAGAACCCTCACCATCACCCCCCTTCCCAATCCTTGCGTCGGACCAAAACCTCCATCGACATGACCCCTGGGATGCAATAGCCCTTCACCACGTTTTCCGGGACCCCTGGGAGCGCAAGTTTCCCGCCACAAAACCACCAGATACCCGCGACATTCGAAGCACCGGAGACTATCCCGAGCTGGCAGCCATGTTCACCGCCATGAACGACCCTTTACACCACGGCAGTGAGGGCCAAGTGCCACATTTCAGTCCTCAACCACCATCCGAAATAGTCGACCCAGCACCAACCGCTCACATTGAAACCCACGATGCCACCGCATCCCCGACTTACGCCGCTTCTCTCCACGTCAAGACGCCACCGCCCGAAAATCCCGCCCCTAGTCCACGAATCGAGATCGAGATTTCATTTAGGGAAGCGGACAGCGTTTCGACGCCCGCTATCCAAGGGAAACTCTCACGAAAACGCAAACGTAGGTAATAAGCTCATTCAATACCTTACCCCAACATTCCGCGAGCTCAAGTCACTAGCTGATGATTACCACCAGGGGCTACTGACAAGCATGACACAAGGACAAATCCGATCGCCAACGCAGAACCATAACCACTCCTCTTAAATTGTATGCATATGGTGTTGGCGACAGAGAGGGGGTTTGAGAGCTTTTCTTTCTAGCAAGATTGACGATGGAGGACGTCGAGAATAGTATAGACAAGAATGACGCCAGCAACAGCATAGCTGTCACTTTTCCGAGCGACTTTTGTAATCCAACTTCTCCTCTGACGTTTGCTCCCCTTTTTTTCCACCCAGCCCGGAACGTCAATTCAGCTTTAAATAGGAGGATGTGAAAACACATCATACTAACGACTCGTTGAAGATACCTTTTTATACTCTTAAGTAATAATTCCTGCTTTCCCTTCTTTCCCCTTTCCCTTCTTTCCCTTCTTTCCTGTTTTCCTTCCGCCTTCACCCAACCCACAACCTTTCCTGCTCATTCTAGGGCGTAACAGCAGATAAAAAGACTTCTCAAGGGGAAGGTGAAAAAGAATGGATACACCCGGGATCGAACCGGGGACCTTCCGAATGCGGATCGGAAATCATACCACTAGACCATGTACCCATGACATGATGTTCAACGCGCCATGACTTGCATGATATGGTAGTATGATGTTGATGAGTGTCTTCTTGTCCAACGCGCCACCAGAAACCTGTCACCCATGTCGGCAGCTGGCTGTGCCGGACAAGCGTATGGCATCTCAGAAGCTGTCCGTTGCCCGTAGCAAAACCCGCAATTTCGTCACGGCGGGCCCTAAGTAGCTGAAGGTCCCTCCCGATGGCTCTGTGCTTGTAATCCGTGGAGAAGGGGGGGGGGGTAAGACTTGCTTCTCGTACCACCCTTCATCTCAGTTCCCGGGGTCAGTTGGCCAAAGTCAGCAGTGTTTCTGACCGCTTTCACATCGTTCTCTGTGTCGAACTGTAGCCGATGGCACTTCCAAAATACTCCTTTCCGGCAGCTTTTGCGCGAGTGTTGAGACCGTCCGCTGAGACCCGGCTCCAGGCGAGAGCCAGGAGTGCGATAATTGACATGCCAATCATCTTTTCTCAGGCGTCTCGAACAAGGATACAGGTCTGGTGGGTTGAGAGGCTTGAAGAGTCAGAGTCAGCAAGGTCCACGAGGCGCCATCTATATCTGAACTCTTGAAGCACCCAATCTTCCTGAACAACTTACAGGTCGAGTGCCATGAACTCGAAGCGGAAATCGAGCCGACCATTAAGAGCTCTAGATCCTTTTATTGGTGGCAAAATGAGCACTTGGCCGGATCACCAACCTCGCGGGGCCATCTCAACGGCCTGTTTCAGTTTCCGAGGCCGGAGAGGGCTTAAACGGCAGGGACAAGTTTGCCTACGGGACGGGCCGTTTAGGCTAAAGAAGGAAGGCAATAATAAAGAGCCTTATTCCGGGGAAAACAAACATCTCCATCTCATTCCCCCAGGCTGGATCGACGACCTTCTGCCTAAGCAACGCGAGGCCGCCGGGAAGGGTTGTTGGTGAGCCTGTGGTCCTCTCTCAGTCTCTTGACATTCCCGTGGTTCAGAAAAGCAGGTCGGAGACCGCCGCGGCTGGAAATGGTTGGCCGGGGCGCATGCACTTTAAGCAAATGAGACTCAAAGTCTCGAAGAGGTGACGCGTCGGGGAAGAAGGCAGCGCGTATTCTGGCATGACCACCTTGTTTACCTACTCGTTTCAACAACGCGGGATGCCAAACACAAACCTCCATATCTGTCAGGGGCCTCAGCAATGATCCAACCTTACCTTCTGTAGTTGCCGTGAACATGGCCCTGCACCCTCCAGAGTCCAGACTCCAGTGGCGTTCAGATACAGATAGCATCCAGAGATTGTAGCAGGTCGCTCTTCCACCTTCATGTCGAACCACTCCCTGCCATTATTGCCGTCGGCAGACCACACAACTTGAAGGCTCTGCGAGTTTCAGGAATGTCTCGTGAGAGATCTCATCGAGTCTTCGTCCTGCGCCCTGACGCTTTGATTGCGTGGTCAGCGCCATGACGCTAAAACCGGCCTAACTCACCTTAAAGTGCTTGAGGCTTGCTCAGTTCCTGATAACTGGAACCTCGCCAAGCATCCATTGGACCATTGGGCATTCCGAGCGGGGCGGCTTCACCTCAAAAAGCCTGGGCACAACGCCACCGCAGGGATTACTTAAAAAAAACAAGAACAGGGGTTTCGAACCAGACACGAGTCCACGACAAATCTTGAACTTCTTGAACACACCGCGAGTCCGCGACTGATGGATTTGTCCCTCAAACAGTCCGCGCTGAATGAAGCGGCAACTTGCTGCGACCACCACGACCGACCATGGCCTGGACCAGCGCGGGCCGGTCCATTTTTGCCTTTGCTCTGGTGTCGACGCTGCTCTCGGTGGTTGCCGTGACGCTGCGCTTTGTTTGCCGCGGCCGGATCCTGCGAGTCCTGGGACCGTCAGACTGGTTCCTGCTCGTCACCCTGGTGCGTAGCTGGGAGCAGCAACTTGAAGAGCACCGCTGACCGTTGAATCCAGATGTTTGCCATTGCCAACCTATGCTGTATCGGAATCCGTATGTATCCGTCCGTCTAGGTACCTGGTACGGCCTTCATCCGGGATTCCACTGACCAAATCGCTGCCCAGATGTCGCCATTGGGTTGGGTCGGCCTCTGCATGAGTTCCCCCCCGATACAAGAGAGCTCTTCGTCAAAGTGAGTTGCAACGCTCGCTGCGCCAAGAGGACCCAGGTTAACACATCCCCAGCTTCTGTATGTCAGTAGTCTGCTTGTCAACTGCAGCCTGGCCTTGACCAAGATATCCGTCCTACTTCTCTTCCCCGACATCTTCGCCATTGCCTGGCCACGGAAGGCCACTTATATCCTTCTCGTCCTGGTGACCCTTTTCGGCGCCTGGGCCGCCTTGAGCAGCATCCTGGCCTGTGTTCCCATAGAGGCCTTCTGGAAGCAGGACGACCCCCCGGTCCCCGGCCGCAGATGTATTGCCGGCGTCCCCAAGTGGTACGCCGACGCCGTGGTCAACCTCGTCCTCGACATCGCCATCTTTTGTCTGCCACTGCCCGTTGTCTGGCCCATGGTGCTGCCTTGGCGCCAGAAAATCTGGCTCTATTTTGCCTTTGCCTTGGGCCTCTTGTAGGTTCTTATCATTTCTCCTTTCAACCAACCCCAACGGGACCTTCCTTACTGACTACGTTCGCGCAGTGTCTGCCTCGCATCGGGGATACGCATTGACTTCATCCAGGGCAACGGCCCGGGCCCTAAGGCTGGCATCGCCCTTGCGTACTGGCTAACGGCCGAGATCAACACCTCCATCGTCATCGCCTGCATCCCGACACTCCGCCCACTTGTGGTCAGGCTCTGCCCTCGGCTCCTCATGGACGGGGGGGATGATAAGACGGACAGTACGGGCGAGCCTTCTGTCCGTCTTATCGAGCCTTCTCGCCCGCCCATCGATTTCACCGGCATGGGGCGGCTACGACGTCTCCCGGAGAGCCAAGGCCGCGTATAATACTAATGAATCAATACCACGGTACATACTTCGATCAGATGTCAGTCTAGTCAGCAGCACTAGATCCCTCGCGCCATTGCTGAAGTTTTGGCTACGCCGCCGTTTCTTCGATCCATGCCAGTCAAGCATAGCGGAGATATGGACATTGCTGGGTCAGGAAGCTGATGCTGGAGACGGAGTCGAATCGGTGACCTTTGGGCTTCGGAGCCGGAGAAGGGCGACCACGATGTGGACGGACATGCACATCCTTTCCGGAGACCGATCCACTAGGCGTCCAGTCGCCAATCCCCGAAGGCGAGACCTTTTTTGATTCCAGCGCCTACACTTTCATCAGGTGGCAGACATACTCAACTTGAAGGATGTCCCCTTGGAGAAGAGCCTCGAGTCGAAACCGACAGTTCGCCGTTGGCACCGCGCGAGGGGCGAGTGGACACTGGACGCTCCAGTTCGCGCAACAGCAACGGGGCAGGTGGAGGCAGGGAGGGCGTTGCGGAGCGGGTGGGAGGAGGAGGGGTCGTCAGTTCCGAGGTCTCCGTGGTCAATGCGAGCTGGCTCGCGAGACGAGGCCTTCGGGTTCACCGTTCGACACAACGCCGGCCACTGCGAAGCCACCATGTATGTGCCTTCTCGGTGATGGAGGTGAGGAAGGCCTTCAAGTCACGAAAGGCAGAGGGGGAAGTCTGACGACTGGGCAATACGCCTCCTTGGCAGGGGTCAAAACATAAAACAGCTGACGTCGAAGTTTTGGCGGGAAGGATGCAGAGTGTGATGCTGTTATTTTTCTCGCCTGGCAATGCGGCTCGCATTCAGTGTGGGTTGTGGCCGCATGATGTCAACAACAGGTACAAAGTACTTCGTCTCTTTTTTTGGACTCGGTCGGGGCGTTGTGTTGTCGTCTCAGTGCTTTGAGCGTTGAGGCTGTGCACGCAGGTACGCAACCCCGCCGTGGAACCGAGCTGTCCGCGGAATGCCCGGAGCGCCCGGCGCGAGGTTGCTTGCTTGCTTCGTGTTCATTCACCACCACCGTTTCGCTCCAATTTGTCGTCTGTGCCGACCGCAAGCAACGCAGCAAACTCACAAACAGAAAACACCCCGCCTCGATTCGACAAAGGCCTGGGCACTTTCTGCGCTTTTCACCGCCAAAAAGGAGGAGGGAGCCAGAGCTGTTCCCCCACTCTTCCCCATGTTTCTTGTTTCATGTTGCCGAATCCTGGTCGGGGCATCCATCCTGAGCACCAAACCCGAGGCCGGAATTCCCGTTTCTGCGGGACGGAAGTGTCGGTCGAGCTCTGCCAATGGTCTCCAGTCCGCCCACACAGCTGCTTCGCAAGTGGCCACCAACGTGGTTATTTATCCGGCGGCGGTTGGCAAGCTGCTTGGGCGTTTGTTGGACAGGCGTCACATTGAAGAATTGCGAGGCAGCGTGCCGAGAAAACATCGGTTGAAGAACACGAGACCGGATCAAGTACTCGGATCATCTGAATGGTGCTCTCTGGTACTTGATGATAGGAAATGCACGTTAAATCGGCCCAGAACTTAGCAGAAATTGATCCCCGACAACAGACTGCTGCGCCCGCGACTTTGCGTTCCTTCTCAGCGATCGGCGGTGCCCCTGAAATTTGATCGGGCTGGCGCGTTCGCTCTGGCCAATGGCCAGCTGCCAGTCAATGACTTTGTGGAGGGCACGCGGGGTGATTGGCCCATCCTGCCGTCTGAAAGCTCCATTGCGCTAGGCCAAGGGCGGCTTGGCGCCAGGGGCAGACGAGCGGTGCCTTGCTTTCTGCGGGCAGGAACGGCCGAAAGGCAGGGGTCCTTGTGCAGGACTGCCCCGGCGTCATCCCGAGGTGTCCCCAGCGCAATTTCGTTCTCGCTCCCCCTGTGGCTCGTGGGACGAGGCCTTTGTGGGTTCGCCGTCTCCCTCCTCGCCTGACTTCGTCCTTGCAACAAAACCACTCTCATTCCCTCCAGTCACTCCTTTGAGCCAACTGTACGTCCTCACTCCACCTTCGCACCCTGAGGAACCCGTTTTCTGCCCTTCCAGTTTGCATCGCTG